AAGCGGGTGCACTTGAACGGGTGTTCTTACCAAGTGCCTGGCATGGATACAGTGCTGAGCGGGTGCACTTGAACGGGTGTTCTTACCATGTGCCTGGCATGGATACAGTGCTGAGCGGGTGCACTTGGACGGGTGTTCTTATCATGTGCGTGGCATGGATACAGTGCTAAGCGGGTGCCCTTGAACGGGTGTTCTTACCATTTGGCAGGCATGGATGCAGTGCTGAGCGGGTGCACTTGAGCGTGGGTTCTTACCATGTGCCTGGCATGGATACAGCGCTAAGCGGGTGCACTTGAACGGGTGTTCTTACCATTTGGCAGGCATGGATACAGTGCTGAGCGGGTGCACTTGAACGGGTGTTCTTACCATGTGCCTGGCATGGATACAGTGCTGAGCGGGTGCACTTCAACGGGTGTTCTTACCATGTGCCTGGCATGGATACAGTACTGCCTCGATCTGTCGCGTTTTGCAGCGCTTTTTGAGCGGGAAACCAATTTTGCATGGTATGTACGGTGAAGTGCGCGGCACTGCCTCGATCTGTCGCGTTGTGCAGTGTTTTTTAGGCAGAAAAGGAAGTTTGCATGGTATTTACAGTGAATTGGGAACGGGTCAAGCGCGGCTCAACGGCCGGTCTGAGGGAACAACAACAACAACAACAACAACAACAACAACAACAACAACAACAACAACAACAACAACAACAACAACAACAACAACAACAACAACAACAACACAACAACAAACAACACAACAACAACAACAACAACAACAACAACAACAACAACAACAACAACAACAACAACAACAACAACAACAACAACAACAACAACAACACAACACAACTGTAACAACAACAACAACAACAACAACAACAACAACAACAACAACAACAACAACAACAACAACAACAACAACAACAACAACAACAACAACAACAACAACCACCACCACCACCACCACCACCACCACCACAACCACAACCACAACCACAACCACAACCACAACGACCAGCAACCAGGGACTAACGACAACAACCAACAACCAACAACAACAAAATAAATCAGCAAAAAACACAAAAACAACAACAATAAAAACAAAAACAACCAACAACCGACAACCAACAACAAACAAACAACGGCCCTTGCAGCGGCCATACTTGCACGATGTAAGGCATTCGCTTCACCCCGTGCTAAGTCACTCTGACGAGCGTGTACGCACATGATAGTCTGGGGTGCCTGAAAGTTGGTGGCAAAGTCAAACGCATTCCGCGGATCCCTTGGGTCAGCAGAAGTTGGCATTGCAACAAAACCAGAGCCAGAACCATCACCGTCACCAATATTGACAAGCGCGCAGGGTCCATGGCAAGTACATACAATCCTTGCGGCTGATAACCTGTGTTAGGCAGAAGGTTGCTGAGTACTTTCTCTTATCGCGCAACTGATATTGTAGTCTTGGGCCTTGCATACTATACCGGATGCACGGGGTTGAAGCATGCTTCCACACCATCCACTGCGCACGCTGAGGAGCAGCGAGTACTAGCTTTCAGGTGGCCCATTGTCCATTCAATTCGCGAAGCCATTCGCGGAAAGAAAGTTGTCAGTTTGTTGCTTGCCTTTTCGCTGATTCAGGAGCGACTCATGAGCGATCACCTCTCTCCAAGACTAGGAAAAGACATGAGGACCCCCACTCCATGGCGCTCCAACCCCACTCCATGGCTCACCGCATCTGTCCTGCAGATCCCCGGCCAGGACAAGGTTCAAGGATGTCACGGGATCGCTGAGGCAGGTGGCGGTGACCCTCGCCCCGGCGCCGTTCTCCACGCCGCGGCGCCGATGTGAGACGACATCCACGGGGAGGCTCTTGTCGCACCTGAAGCTTCGAACTTGAAAGCAAGTCGCCCAAGACCAACGTTGCTCAAACCCGCAGAAGGTTCTATGTAAGAACCGGACCCAGAAGCCTCAACCTTGTTGGTTGATATTTACGGGGAGCCCTTGCCGAAAAGAAGGGACAAAGGATACCCTTGGGCAACTTTGATTTTGACAATCAGCCTGCCATGCACCGGCTCCCACTGTGACACGCCGCCACAAGCGTCTGCGACCAACCAGGCAGTCTGGCAGTAGCAGGAGATTGCGTGGCCGCCCGTACACGTCACACTCACGTCGCCTGACAGGACACCAAACCAGAAGAGGCTCTTTGAAGCGCAGTTAATGTTGAGCCTTTGCGCAAGACTTCCGGCCTAGTTGTTTTGCACTTGCCCCTAGATGATCGAAGCTGGTTGAAGGGTTTCGGCCCTCAGCCCCAGCAAATGGCCTAAAGAAAAGTGCGCCGACTCATCAAGGGGTCCCCCAGCTGAGTGGCAGATTCTCGGCTCCTTCACTTCGGGGATGTTTCTGGTTATGGTTACTAGGGCTCACCTGGAAGTCCAAACGGCTGAAAACAGACTCAGGGAGCGAAGAAGCACCATGGTCCATAGTGAAAGGATCCTCTACACCGCAGGAAAAATGCCAAATGCCTGTTTCATGAAAGTTTTGTAATGAGGGGCCAAACTCAAACTTGATCTGTCGCTTGAAGCCTTTGTTTCGAAGACGCTTCTGAAACTCTATTGTTCTTGTTGGACCCTGGGCTCTACTGGGTTTGGGCATTTGCGCGACAGCGGATTGAGAAGTACACTTGCAGCACTTGCCTGGAGGCATGCCGTTGGTCAGGTGCGGCTGTAATCTGACACGGCACCAGAAAGTCGTTCATTGGTCTAGGGCAAACGTTGTTTACTCCCCCGGCCCCAGCCTTGCCAAATTGGCGGCAAACTCAAATACATGTAATTGAATCATTACAAAGCACCTGCCGTGTTGTGCCTTCGTGAGGTGGTTGCGCTGTCTATTGTATAGGGATTGCATCCATGCCATGGTGTAATGCGAGTGCGCAGAATCTGCGAGTTGTGTTGCTTGAGTGCGCGCATACGCATACTCATCTCTGCAGGCACGAACAGAATAGACACGTCACCAAAGCAGCACCTGCCACTGGTTGACACTTTGCTTTGCCGCCCCCATTGATGAAACCCCTGGCCCGTCATCAAAAGAAGCACACACAGAGAAAAAAAGTGCAGCCGGCCAACGCCGGGAACCCGACGTTCTCGCCCCCCTCTCGTTTTAGGATGGCCCCGAGGGCGGGCGATTTCGCCACGAAGCCCCGGCCTTCCTGCCAGGGGTCGCTCATCAAATATCCGTCTCCGTAGGTGGTGACCTTCTCACAGGTGGCCTCTGCCAGAATCACGGCCCCACTGCTCTGAACCCCACAGGAGCCTCGGGAGCTTCACTGGGGGTACGGGATTGTGACGCATGGCCAAATCGCGCTGGAGGGTTCAGTTGAAAACATGCTCTAAATTTCATGCGGCGACGTGGCCGCGGAAAAGAGTTGACAAATACTTCCCTGAGCCACGGTCAATGCTGTGACTGTCCTGTTTGACAATCCCACGAAGGCAAATAATACAAGGACCCCTGATGGGTCAGTAGAAACTTCGGAAACCAAAATGTCTGGTTCTGAAACCAGGAGTGATTCGGAAACCGAAAAAGTCTGATTTGGAAACCAAGACGGATGATTCCAAAACCAAGAAACGTGCTTCAGAAACCAAAGCGGCTGATTCAGAAACCAAGAATGATTCGGAAACCAAGAACGTTGATTGGAAACCAAAACGGCTGTCTCGGAAACCAAGAGTGATTGGGAAACCAAGAAGTTGATTGCCCCACCCGTAGTGCTGATTAGGATCCGGTGGACAAACCATGAGTGCAAGTGGACAGCCCCAGGAAGGAGCCTTCTCTGCAGTATCTCAGAAACCAGCAAGACCACAGGAACTCAACGTAGGATTCCAAAGCAGCAACATCCAGTGGAAAACGGGCAGGAATCAACACAGTCCCCCACAACAAACGACAGAATGGCGTCAGCAGGCTGACACTGAGTCACACAATCAAGCAAACTGTCCAAGTACAGAAGAAAAGCCAGCGACGAAGCAAAAGCAAGAGGCCCAGAGCAAGACGACCTTCGACGGACAGGAACATTGAAACCAAAACTGCAAAAGAAGGTCTCCGCAACCTCCAAGGAGACACGCAAACCAAAAGCCGCAAACATCATCCCCCCACCCCCCACCCCCCCCCCCCTGCCCCGAAGTGTGTTGGTTGCTGCTTCGCTGGTTGTTTGGCGATTGAAAATCGCATTGTTGCTTTCTCAATCGCGCATGCTGTGGTTTCTGAATGTTGCCTGCTTCGGTTCTGAATCAACAGGCTTTGGTTTCTGAATGGGTCGTGCATCTCGCGCATTAGAAGGTGCAACAAGGAGCGAATTCCCAAACCCCTTGCGCAAGCATAGGCAACAAGCAGTCAGGGATGAATCATACAATGCTCATTGAAGGCGACGGTTGATTCCCAGGGGGCGATGACAAAATCATGTGGCTGGGCAATCCAACCATTCCTCTTCAAAAGGGAAAGCGATAGAATTTTTGCTGGCCCAACCCAGGTTCATAAATGGAGAAGAGCCTCTCACAAACGTTGGACCTGAAAAATGCCACCCATCTCAAGCTCCATACTTGCCCGGAGGCCATGCAAGGACAAGACCCTCTTGCTTCACACTGGCAGCCAAAGTTTCTAGCAAGTTCCGCGGAGGTTCCTTTGGGGCGTATTCCTTGGATTCGTTGGCTGGCTAAAGTGGGAACCATCCCAAATCAAGGCGGCGCTTCTGTCAGACTTCCAAAAGGAAACCGGAACAACTCGTTCTTTCTTCTTCTTCTTCTTCTTCTTCTTCTTCTTCTTCTTCTTCTTTTTTTGGGGGGGGGCATGCTTTTCTCCAATTGTACTCCTGCTGGTGGGACCAGAACAACAATGGATTGGTTAGAGGAAGCTCGGTTGGGGCACCCCCTTTATGGGTTCCAGGCAAATTTGGGAAGCTCATCCAAGGCCCTTTTGTGAAGCGGGCGCCTCTTGGCGGCTTTTCCGACTTGCCGAGCTGCCATCAGCATAGTTCATCACGCCGTCCCCGGAATTGGGAGGGATGCTCTGGCAATTCGTGAGGCCCCAGGAGAACGGGCAAGATACTGTGACCAGACCTCGCGTGCCCAAAAAGACCTGGAAATAATACACGGTCTGTAACAAGAGAACTGGAAATAGCTGGTACTCTGTGAAACCAACTGAAAGTGGACCACAAAGTGTGAAGAAGAAGAAGATGGCCCAAGTTTTCTTGGACAACTGAGCCGCAGTCATCCGTTTCGCAGGTCGTGCTGCTATAAACCACCATCTTATCAGCTCCCATCTCGTAGTCAGTCTGTGATGGGTTTGATGAGTATGGTGTGTAGATGCTGCTGCCACAGGTGGTAGGGAGCATAGACGCGCAACCAACGCCAGATGGCAACAACCAGCAGTCCCTGCCGCAGTCATACTGAATGGCCTCACAGCCCGTGACCCGGCAAAGCTGAGCACACTGGTCCAAGGTCATCGCTCCTGGTCCAAAGGTCATCGCTTCTTGACTGCTCCGCGAAAAAAACGCTCTTGTCCTACGAAAGGGCCAAACAGGGTTCCTTAGAGGATGCATCGAGAGCCGCTCGCTTTGCAAGGGGATCCTCTAAATCAGCCAAGGTGATTGCCGCTGGCCTGGTGCTGTTGTCAACATCCTGCAAACGTCCTTTGAAAGGGGACCACGCTCCCCAGCAACTTGTTGACTGGCCCCAGCTGCTATCCTTTAAGGGACGTCCAAACGGCAGCCGAGTCTCCATGGTTCGTTGCCTGATCCTGGTTTGAGCAGTATGATGCCTCGAAGCAGGAATAATCCCATGCCGGGAATGAGAAGTTGGTCGCAAGACATTGGCCCAAGAAGGTGGTGGTGGTGGTGGTGTAGGGCAACTGCCGCACGTAGACGTTGCTCCCGCAAAGTGTATCCTCCAAATAACATATTCACTGATTACACTGACGAAACTATGTCCACTACCCTTTGTTTCTGAGGAGAAAAATCAAATCCCTGTTATGTTCTTGTTGTATTTGTTTTGTTTTATATGTTGTTGTGTTGTCTTTTTTTGTACAAAAATGGTTCCCCAATGGTCACCGTGTCCCACTGTTTCTTCCAAACTGGGTAGTATCACCTCAGAGTTTCTTTCTGGGAAGTTCATGGGCTCTTGAGCCGGCTGACGACAAATCTGCGAGCGGGAAAGCAGCCATCGCCATGTGGGTGTGCCTTCTTGAGGGTTCTGTCTTTCAGCTGTTCTTACTTGAGGAGCGGGTGAACGAAAGCTAGCAGTTGTTGCATGAGATGGGTCGGTGACAGAGTGGATTCATAGGTAGCTTGTGTACAACGAGAGGCCCGGCAAGATTCGTAGGATGCGACACGCAAACGCACATGGTAGCGTGGCAAACCTTAACGAGAGGCGTCAGAAGCTGTCTTAAAGCACCTCTGGGTTCTGCATGCTGCGTGTGCAAAGATTCTTGCGAGGTGGTTTACCGAGAAGACTGAGGTCTCAAATGAACAAGCTGAATCGGTGGAACATGTAAAAGTTCGTAGCACCAAGTCCAAAACGGGCAAACCGAGACTGCTGAACACTGAGCCACTGCCCAGAAAGGGGGGGGATGGACCAGGGAGGAATCGAGCCTGAGACCGGAGGGGGGGGGGGGTCTAAATAATTGATGTTTTTCAATCTTTTCGGCTCAAATAATTGAAAAGCATTTGAGCCCCTTACCTTGCTTACGCAAGGAGAAACTTCAGCTAGCTAAAGCTAGCTTTCGTGAAAAGAATGCAGAATGGAAGGAAGTCTTGCGAGGCCCGCGTTGGAGGAGGTCCACCCTTTTGAGACCTCAGCCATTTCCAAATAGGTGCCTGCCAAAATCGGCGACCACCGAAAACTCGGCGGGGGGGGGGGCGGGAGGTTGGTGGCAATGTTCCCATTTTGGCTTCCCCAAGGATGCACACCAACAAAAGGTGGGTCAAACGCAATCTCTTAAAACCATGCCAAGGCAAACCAAGCCCAAGTGGTTGCCGGATGTACGGTTGCTCTGTCCCAATGAACTGCCAACTCTCAAGCTCCAAAAGGAGTTAGTTGGGTTCATTGAAGTGACATTCTCAAAACATGACCCAACACATCTTTGAAAACGTTTGTGTACCCCGAAGTTTCCCGTTGGAGGTTAAAACCTCGAAATGAAAACCAGCGGTACACTTTTTGGGACGGACCCAGGCAATTTATCCCCGGATCCCGTCCAACTCATTGCTGCAGGACTTCAGCAACCAGCAGCCGGTGCCGCAGTCGTGCTGCACCGCGCCGCAGTCGTACCTCTCACACTCTGCCAGGCACGCCTCGAAGCTCATGTCCCCCAGCATCAGGGCCTCCAGAGTTGCAAGTGGTCGGCTTAAAGGAATGGAGGGCAAACGGCGAAAACGAACAAGAGCTGGGCATCTTGGCGCTGCCAAACTTGGGAAAACCAACTCGGCCCTTGAAGATCTAGGCCCGCGCCCTGCAAATGAAGCCAAGACATCGCCCACTGGCAAAAGAAATCCCCGCGGGAGAACCAAAAAATCCCCAAGAACGACCACCCCCCCGGCTCACACCCTGCCTCCCCCTGATTCGAGCAGTATTTCTGCGGGATGCAGGTATAATCCCCGTTGTTCCTCACAACGCCATCGGAAGCAAAGCAAGCTTCGGGAGATGCCGTGGTGCCACCTCAGCTCGCTGCCATGCCAAAATCGGAAGCCATGGCTTCCTGTTTCCTCTCGGTTCGACACCAAGCGGCCCAAGTTTATGACCCGAATTTGCGAAGATCGGCCTTGCCGGACCGAGTGGTCCGACCATCTGGCCGTAAATTCTGACGCGGGCACACCCTCAAAGATTGGGCAAAAATCCTGCGCAAACAATGTCTACAGGGGGCTAGGGTTGGGTCTAAGAATTAAGCTTTGGGACGAAAACCCAAATGCAACACGAACACATGGGAACAAAGACGCCAACGCCGGTTGGCGAGAAAAGCAGAAAAAGCGAACCGGCCGAAATCCAAAAGCAAAGTGCCAGGCAAGGAGGTCGTCGCCGTCGCCGTCTTGTAGTACACGCTACTCCCACAACTCGACAGCTGCTCTGCGCCGCAGTCCGTGCCGATTAGCAACCAGCAGTCGGTGTTGCAGTCATACCTTACAGTAAATGAGCGGTGCACGGCCCCACGGCAAAGGGCTTCTCGCCCCTTACTATGAAATCGATTGCTGTTTAAGCCGAATCATTCCCTTCCAGGGTTGGATATGCTGAGCTTGGCTGCTGACTAAAAACTCGGGGACCCACCCACCAAACAAAAACTTAAAGGTGCCAGTGCCAAACAAAATAAGGACCCCCAAGCAAGGGAGGACAAAAGACTTGCCCGAAGCAGGCAACTGTCAATTTGGGAACGCATGTTTCCGGATCGGGAAATCGGGAAGGTTAAAAATAATGGGGGCACCTGCTTGTGAACGAGTTACTGGATGCCCGTGCACGCGGCATCAGCGTCACACCTGACCTTAGTTGTAACCAGCGGCGAGGTTCCTTCTACTGGCAGTTGCCAGCGAGGCATAGAAAAGAGAAGAACAACATTTGTGCCACTGCCTGCTGGGCAACCATGCAAGCAGTCAACGACATAGTCCCCTCGATCGTGGCCGAGTGCTGGTTGCTACAATACATGTTGCTGGTGCAAGTATACGCTCCGGAGTCCACTGTTCCTGCAACAGGGCTGCTCTTTTCCCGCCTTTGTGGGCAAAAGTTTGGCATACACTGGAAAAGGGTCAAATGCTTGCAAGATACCCAGTTGCCCAGTGCCCCCAGAGAAAGAGGAACCCTTTGGGGTGGGGATTCGCTTGCGAACAAGGTGAAACCCACTGAACCACTGGACGCCCTGCCCAACAAGAACAACTCCAGTGCCTGGAAAGCATGCTCCCAAGATGGTGCTTGGCCCCGTCGTCCCTACAAGTGCGGTCGTCCCTGTCGCGCTCGTGGTCGTTGTTGCCGCCTGAGTCTTGCAATCACCCGAAGATCAAAAGGGGCAACCACTGGCTAGCTGCTTCCAACCCAGCCTTGTAGTACACGCTACTCCCACAACTCGACAGCTGCTCTGCGCCGCAGTCCGTGCCGATTAGCAACCAGCAGTCGGTGTTGCAGTCATACCTTACAGCAAATGAGCGGTGCACGGCAAAGGGCTTCCCGCCCCGTACTTTTAACATCACGTTGCCTTTCGAACCCCAAAAAAAAACTACTATGTTCAGGCAACTGTTAGGGAACGTGATACCAAAGCCAAACTTTCCCCGGGGAGTCGGGACGGGAAATCGGGAAGGTTAAAAATAACGGGGGCACCTGCTTGTGAACGAGTTACTGGATGCCCGTGCACGCGGCATCAGCGTCACACCTGACCTTAGTTGTAACCAGCGGCGAGGTTCCTTCTACTGGCAGTTGCCAGCGAGGCATAGAAAAGAGAAGAACAACATTTGTGCCACTGCCTGCTGGGCAACCATGCAAGCAGTCAACGACATAGTCCCCTCGATCGTGGCCGAGTGCTGGTTGCTACAATACATGTTGCTGGTGCAAGTATACGCTCCGGAGTCCACTGTTCCTGCAACAGGGCTGCTCTTTTCCCGCCTTTGTGGGCAAAAGTTTGGCATACACTGGAAAAGGGTCAAATGCTTGCAAGATACCCAGTTGAGAAAAAGGGACCCTTTCGGGGGCTGACGATTTTGAACTCCAGTGCCTGGAAAGCATGCTCCCGAGGTGCTTGGCACCGTCGTCCCTATAAGTGCGGTCGTCCCTGTCGCGCTCGTGGTCGTTGTTGCCGCCTGAGTCTTGCAATCACCCGAAGATTAAAAGGGGCAACCACTGGCAAGCTGCTTCGCAGAGCCAACACTCGTTTCCATCTTGAACCCAGCCTTGTAGTAGATGTTGCTACCACAGCTGGTTGGCGTTTCCGAGCCGCACACGTCGTCAATCATCGCCCAGCAACCGGTGCCGCAGTCGTGCTGGACGGCAGTGCAGCCTGGCGCCTGGTCACACAACTGGAGACAGTCCGCCAGATTGAGGTCTCCATACCGCGTGGCACTGATTTGGTTGCTGCAATACCTGGCGGAAAACATAAATCTAAAGCCTAGACTCTTGGACTTGGTAGAAAAGGTATGCTACACAATGGCAGAACAACATGAAAAGTCTGGACTGAGATACTTCAGGGGTGTGCAGGTATAGAAGCCACCACTGGGCACAACGCCGGAGAAACACGACGCTGCTGATATTGATGTTGTGGTTGTGGTTGTTGTGGCCACTGCCGTGGTGGCTGTCCAGGTGAGGTCCCTGTAGTAAGTACCTGCATGGTTTAGGCGGCCCGGCCATAAAATTGTTAAACCTTCGGGGATCAAGCATGAAACCAATAGGTCGCTTCGTGTTCAACCAAGGCACTGCTTGAGCAACTGGACTCTTTATGCTCGCCGCAGCTGTCCAGCAGCCAGCACTCACTGCCACAGTCGTACTGGATCACTCGGCAGTCTCTGGCTACGCACTGTGTCATGCAGGCCGCTAGGCTCATGGCACCCAGTCTGTTGGCAGAGCCCTGATTCCCGCAAAACGTGTCAGAGACGCAGGAGTACTCCCCGGTCGCTGATGCCGTGCCATCCGGGTAGCAGGTATCATTATTCTCACAGCCCTTCAAGGCCATGGACAGAACGGCCACCGCTAAGCCCCGCGCAAATCCCCATCCGATGGCTCTCCTTTTCGCGCGCTTCGGCGCGGAAGCCATGCCGAAGCCCGACATGGCAGGCTTCGGAGAAGCCGCTTTGTGAAACAACGCCTTGGGACTCTATGTGGCTGAAACATGGCTGGCTTCAACATGCGTCCAGCAAGGGGTCCGCCTGCAACTGACTCACCCGAACCTCGCTTGGCCTCCAGGCCCTTCCGCAACTGCCTTCTTTGGGCCAAGCTTCGGACTGGCGCTGACGGAAGGCGTTGGAATAAACACGTGCACCTGTACATTGACCCAAGTGGAAACAGAGGACCATTCGTTAGGGCTTGGGCAGCTCTTTGTGGAAAATCAAAGCCGAAGGGATGCAGAGCCCCTGACCAATGGGGCATTCTTGGGCATCGAAGTGCAAAGCATCCAGTCACCAGTGCCCATGGGTCGAGGCAGCGACCCACTGACGTGCTTTCTGCCCCGCAACGCCCCCTCCCCCTGCCACCCCTCCGCTAAAAGTGACATGCGTGAGGTTTATCAGCCGTCAAATGCTTCTCAGAGGCCGACGGCTGAAGAACAAAAATGAGCTTGGAGTGCTGGGCTCGTCGCAGGGAAGCAAAAGACTGCGATGAACACATGGGAGCTTCCCCTTCCAAGACCAATCCCTATAATATATATATATATATATATATTCTATATAGATATACACACTATATGTGGACATGGGAGCTTCCCCTTCCGAAACCAATCCAAAAACCAATCCCTAGAACCAAAAAACAAGTCCGGGATCCTCTGGGCATCCGCGCGTGCTCCTCCAGCTCCTTGGCCTCCGACAGCTTCTTCGCTTTGGCTCCTCTCGAGGGATCCCGTCCGAAAGTGGTCGGGATCCACTCGCCGAAAGGCGCGGCCGGCAAGACATGGTGCGACCAAAGGTCCACTGGACCTGTGAGTGGGGGCAGTTATGTGTAACTCTGATCACGGAAGAGATGCCGAAGACTTCGGCCATCCCTAAAGCAAGGAACCTGAAGAGTACTGGAAGATGAGTTTCCGCTTAGAGGGACCCCCCCGCGAGGTGCATATTGGTGGGAGAAAAGGCATACTTGGGACAATTAAATAAAATGCATCATTGCCTGAACCAAATGTTGAAAGCCGTGAGACAACAAGGCAAGGCACCCGAAAAACCAAGCACAAGGCACCCCAGACCCTCAGCCCAAGGCTGCGCCGGCTCCTCTCTTCATGAACATTGCCTGCAGCTCAGGCTGACAGCTAGCTCAGCCGACTCTTTCTGCGGATTTTGTCTGTGTCAAACTGGCGAAACGAAAGTCAAATTGCATCAAGTTGTCCCCCAAGCTGGGCGGCCAGCGTCCAAATCTCGTAAATGCGAGTCTGGCGCTTTTGTCTGAACAGGCTCTCTCGCACGTGAGCAGCGTTCTAAACCCGGTTGCGGCCGAAGAGAAATATCAAATCCCTTCCAAGAGGGAATCGCTTCCGCGTCGCTGCCGCAGATTGAGAAATGGGATTGAAGTTTGTTTTCGCTTCCGCGTGTGAAGGAAAACTACAATTTCTTGCTTTCGTGTTTGAATCGTAGCCCTTCCGCCAAGCTTCTGCGAGTACATAATTGAGAAACTCCTTCCGCGAACCTTGCGCGGCGCTTCCGCGACCTGGAAAAAGTCAGCATTTTGAACAACATATTTCCTCCCGAATACTACTTTCAAGCGCAGGGGTTTTAGAACGGTCGCTCACGTGCTGCGCTCGCATCCACAAAACCCCAAACCCTCCCACAGCCAGGGCCGCATTTCCGCTTCGGGCACCCGGATCCCACAAGCCCTGCAACCAGGTTGCGAAGAGCACCTGACAAGACTCTTGCGCATCCAAACTCTGGCGCGGCATGGCCATGCTTCCCTTAGGGAAGCCGGAAGCCAATGGGATGCCGTGAGATGCTTGAACATGACCAGGGGATGACTCAACGGGCTGTGGGGCTCTCATGCTGCCGTGGCGTTCCTACGCCAACATCACCAGCTCACGCATGAATTGCCACCTAGTCTTAAAATGTGCACCTGCCTCCAAGCCTCCACCTTCACCCCACAACCAGACCCACACAACCCCCAAACTCCAAAATCCAACCACTCCCCAAACAATCCCCCACTTCCCCCCAAACCCCCACTCCCCGAACCCCATTTCAAATTAAAAATGATCAACCATTCCCCAAACAATTCCCCCTTTCCCCCCACCCCCCCCCCCTCCCCGAACCCCCAAACCTTTCCCCATTCCAAAAAAAAACACTCCCCACACAATTCCCGCCTTCCCCCAATCCATGCAACCCTTCCAGTTCCCGCACCTTGAGCCCCAGCTTCTCCACGAAGATCTGGCAGTTCTCCGGGCAGTGGCGCACCGCGTGGGCCGACAGCTTCAGCGCCAAGGTGGCCGCGAAGACCCGGTCCTTCATCATGCGGATCATCAGCTCCAGCCTACGGCCCCAAAGGGACAAGCAGAATGCCAGGGGTGCCCAACGATAGGCAGAAGTTGATACGTAGACAGATATACATATATATATATATATACATATATATATATATATATATGTGTGTGTGTATAGCAAATGTGCATTTGCCTTTATGTGGCTATGTAACAAAGTTGTTTGTACTTGCTTGCTCCAGCCCTGCAAGCCCAAGTTCCAATGGTTGTTCCCTCAACCTTGCCCCCCCCCCCCCAAAGGTTGAATGCTTTCCCTCTGGCTTAGCGCAGCACTTCCTGGGCCAACATTGTAATATCATCATTGTCATCATCTACATTATCACCTTCCTCAGCATGATCATCACCTTCATCAACATTGTACATCACAACCTTCATCACCATCACCATCACCATCATGATCATCACAATGACCATGACCATGACCATGACCATGGCCATGGCCATGACCATGACCATGACCATGACCATGACCATGACCATGACCATGACCATGACCATGACCATCATCATCATCATCATCATCATCATCATCATCATCATCATCATCATCAACCGGCTTCCCTCCTCTCCGTTGCCATTGTACTCATCATGTGCACAAATGTCTTCGCTCTCTCCTTTTTCTTCTACAGGATTCAAGTGTCTTGTTCGGCACCGCTGGCGTATGCTGGGATACAAAGTGCTTCCAAGTGCAGCGGCCTCTACCCGACGCCTGCGCTGAGCCCCGAGTCTCAGAAAAACCAGAACCACCTGCAGAGCTCATCGGGTAGCCGGGGGTCAGCAGCTGCTGCGGAAAAAATACCGGGCCGCGGCCCAGCGCTGAGTGGAGCTACCTCCAGGCAAACGACTGGCCCCCTGCCGACCTTTTGCGCCGAGCCGTCTGTACTTTGGGGCGAAGGATTCGCGGCGTGCTACGACTTTGGGCGACTTGTCCGACCTGGCCGAGGCGTTGCGGTCGAGCGTTCGTTGCGGTGGGTGCCCTACAGGCAACGAACGACCCCAACTTGGCATTATGTTCGCAGACTTCAACAAGACATGAATTGTTGCGCCCCAAAAAAAAAAAGGACACCTGCTGACCCACGCGGCTTTCTGGATCCTAACCAAGATCGAGCTGTTCGGCTCGATGTGCAAAAACACCAGGTTTTTTACGCGTGTTGGGGCGGATGCACGCACGTGAGAAGCGCGCAAGTCGTTGAGATGCGCTGTGCAGCAAAACCATGTTAAGATGCTATGGTGAGATGTTATGTGCAGCAAGCCTATGTTGACATGTGCTGTGCAGCAGAGCTAGCCTTTTGCAGCTAGAACCCTTCGCTCCCCCCCATCCCCCATTGTTGTTGGCCCTTTCCATTTTGCCCAAAGGCCCCTGGAGGTTGCCAAAGGCGAGCTGGTTGCTCTTCAGAAGCATCAGCGAGCAGAGGCAGTCGAACATGTTCTGCACGTACTCAGCCTCCTCGCTCACCAAAGGTATGGACTTCAAGGGGAGGTTCAAGTTCCTGTTGAATATGTAGACTCAGATGCCCAGTGGATTTCCATGGGAGAAAAAGAATCGGCATCTTTTTTTGTTCGTTGAGTTTAAAGCCGAACCCTTGCTCAAAAAAGGCAACAAAGGCACCACTGGGCAACAGAGTAGAAGCTATGGTGAAAGCTCTTTCTGCCCTTTCTAAATGGCCATTTCCGTTCAGAAAGAAGCGGGCCGACACGGAACTATGAAAATAGCGGAGGGGAGGGGGCCAGACCCTGGAGTCGAGGTAGGTTGTCTGCAAGTTGTGGGACCTGCTTGATCCCCCACACCAATGGGATTGGCTTGGCTTCACATACATCCTGTGAAGCGACCCCCTCTCATGAGGCACTCCTCGCTGTCCGCAGGGTCGCGCTTGCGGTAGGCCGCGATGCCGCGGAGGAGCTTGTCCACACCCTCCAACTTCACAACCCTCGGCGAAGTGGAGAAGCTCAAGTAAGCGGGGAGAATTGCAAACAAACAGGGGGGGGAGAAAAAAAAAGAACGATTGAGGGATGCCGAAGCCGAAATTGAGATACCTCAAATAAAGGAGAAATGGGGATGAACTTTAATCAGGGAACCATCGAACTCAAGTGGGCAACCCCCCCCCCACAAAAACAAAAAAACAAAACAAAACAAAACAAATGTCCAAACCCAAATTGAGGGATTCCTGAAGAAGGGGGCCATGGGTGAGCCCGTTCAGGTCCAGGAGAGCTCGAGCTCGCACTAAGTTAGACAGAAGACATGCGGTTCCTGTCCACGTGAGGGCAAAAACACCTACAAATTGATCTCTCTCAACACACACACACACACATACATACACACACGAATGGACCACGGCCCCGGCCATCAAAGGCAACGGCTTTCTTGCAACGAACCTCCGAAGCGGATTTGTTCTGAGCCAGACCCAGAATTCAGCAGCCCAACTCGTCGGAAAAAGTTGAAGCTTTCTTGCCTTTGAGCATTGCCTCTCCTCATGTGACGCTGGGGATGCCTACCCCGTGAATTCAAACGAAAAAGCAACAGCGACAAATCGAACAAATGGCAAAACACCGCATGCAAGAAGAAACTTCCAAGGCCTCCCTTAAACCACTTTCGAATGTTGGAAAAGGAAACCAACCAAAGACCCATGTGTCGTGGCGCGCTCTTGGAAGATGGATTTGTTCAAGCCTCGGAGGCCCTTCTCCAACTCGGCTCCCCCCACCCAAGGCACCCACACACACTCACACACCCACCCACACACACACACACACACACACACACCGCAACACACTACACCATACCAAACCCGGCCCTATACGACCCCACCTGACACCCCCCCCCGACCCTGAACAAACAATGCAGCAAGAATAAAAATTAAGAACAACAACCAACCGCCCCCCCAAGAAAGAAAAAAGAGCAAACCACAAGAATCACAAAAACTAGAACTCGCAAACACCACCCCCCCCCCCCCACACACAAAAAAACAAACGCAACAAACACGACGAAAACAACAAAGAACAAGCCTTCTTTGGTGCTCCCAGCGGCGCAGCTTCAAGCCGAGGTGCGCCTCCCGAGCCTCGGCCAAGTTCTGCAGCACGATGCCCAGGATTTCCGAGGCATAGACCTGCCGACAGCCACTGACTCGCCAGAACCAAGCGAAGCAGGAACCTCCTGGCAACTCGGAGACGGATCACAGGCTGTGAGATCGGAAATGTAGGCCATTGGCATGGGCCAATTCACCCACTGCCACAGCGTCCACAAAAAAATACACCCCTGCCATTGATCATCCCAGTCCCCCGTGCTGCGGACAGAAAACCATCCGCCTTGTTGTAATCCATGTTGGGAGCCCGCACCCGCTTGATCAGCCAGGGCAAGAACGTCTGAATGTTGACAAACTGGCGGCAGGTTTCCAGTGGCATCAAGTCCTCGGAAAGTGTGTGGCAGGGTTTAGAGAAAATAGCCAAACCGATCAACAGAGATGCCAACAAACACATTCCACATGGCCATGGGTCAAAACCCCGTACCCCGTGTGAACATCCCAAGTCCCACTAAAATAGACTAAAATGGGTGGGGCACCTACCCCAAAATGGGATCCCATTGGTGTTGACCAACGGCCACATCAGCAAGCACCAACAATGGTAGATCGACGCGGTGCCTAAAGTCACGCACCATCTGCCTGAATGATCGGATCTGGGCACGAGCACAAGCGCTGTTTGATGCATCCAGGCCACTGCCAAGTTCTCAATCATGCTGAGGCCGTTGGTCACAGCCTCAAGCATTGCTATGGGAAGGGTTTGAACGAGGACCTTGCTTCACCCCTCCCCCCCCAGGTGACATCGCCCATCCACGCATGCCCGTGAGATGACAGCTTGGTTGCGCGCCACTGCAAGTGCCAAAACTGGTAGAATGGAGCTGCTGCGTACTTCATAAGATTTAAGTCAGTAACAACATGTGAGTCATGTTAGAATCATTTAGCCCGCCACATGAGCCCACGCAATGCCACTGGTCCCCCCCGGTGACATCGGAAGATTGGTTTGTCCCCGTCTGTGCCCCACCAACCGCGCGTAACACAAGGTCCTACAACTACCTAGCACAGGCTTGTGGATTTCTGTAAAACTACTTCAGTCATGATGGGAGAAGAACGTGGTGTTTCTCTAGAGCCCACTTAATTAGAAAGTCCCTTTACTTGCCGGTGCTCCAACTGGTGGTTTCCTAGGGGACCAAAGCCTGGGTTCATTCCATTTCACAATCTCTCCTACTTATTTGATTTTGAGGGGAGAAGTTTTTTGCGCCCCCTTTCTTTGAGGAGCGCTTCTGCAACCAACGTCGGGAAAAACGCCTTGAAGTCCTCGTCGCTGGTGGACTCGTCGATGCGCATCAGCACGTCCACCGACATCTGGCAGAGCTGGGCGTCAAAGAGCGCCTCGCGCGTCAGACACTTGCTGGCTTCTCGTGTAGGTGTGCTTCAAAACCAGCCCAACAGGGGTCCAACAATTTGGGGAATAGAAGAAATATAGCGATATTGCTCGCGTCAGATTCTAAGCAGAGGACGTGCGAATGATGGCCCCTCTCAAGCAGCCAAATGGAACTGCCACTTTTGGAAAAACAATTGGAATTGAGGCAAGCCCTTCCCTAAGCCAGGCAAAACTGGGCTTGGAAGCAAGTAAATGAATGAAAGGTTGGCCCGCACCTTCCTCACTGAGAACGAGCGTATTTGTACGAACCAGATATGAGATTGTCAAGAACTTGGAAAGCTATAAACGTTACAAAATGTGTTCGGGTTGAAAAACAATTTTGGGCAAGCAATCTTGGGTGTCAAAGCGAAGCCGACAACTTGCGAGGCGTGAACCATACCGTACGCGGCCGTGCTCGGCTGGCCAATAGGTGCATTCCATTAGTCAAGCCGGCTAAGAGTGGAGGCATCGCTGGAAGCGAGACCATATCTTTCAGACATGTCTGGGCAAACTACTGGAATTCACAATCCCCAAGCAAGGTCTTCATCATCCATGAACCTGTTTACCCTCCCTCAGGTGAGCTCGTTGCGTGTATGCATCGGCACGTGCCAAACCGCGTCAAGTAAACCGAACATTTGCAAGGGGCCGTAGCTTTGCTTCCAACATGCCTGGTGCCAGCCACTGGCGAGTGGATGAAATAGCGCCATGGAGAACCAGCCAGCTTCGCAGGCTCTTAGTGTGCCCCGTAAGCCCCTCCCCCAACCACCTCGCTGAGCCCCAAGCCAACTCCAAAAAGCAATCCACAGCCCTGCTTGCCCACCAACCAACCAACCAACCAACCAACCAACCAAGCAACCAAGCAACTCAGCAACCCAGCAACCCAGCAACCTGCCCATCCAAACCACCATCCAACCAATCAACCAGACACCAAACGAACAGCCGCCCAGCGGTCGCCCTCGCCTTCACAAAGGCTTCTGCCTCCTCCGCCTCCCCCAGGACCTCGGGGTCCGTCAGCTCCGAGAGCACCTCGAAGACATCCACGGCGATGTCCGTGTTCACGTGGTTCAGCATCCCCACCTCCCAACTGCGCGATGCAGCTCTACGGAGCAGCCGGGCCCGACAAGGGGCGAGGGGAGGTGCGCCTCTTGGGAAAGCGCCGCAAAGATCCGAAGATGCCGTTGGTGGCTTCGTATGGGGTGCTAGCATCCTAACCTTCCCTTTATAAGCAGTCTGAACATCTCGTGAGCCAAAACGATAGCGCCTAGGCATCTTGCAGTAGCCACCGCGCTTCCCTCGCATGCAAACTTTTCTCACCAATTTGCCAATGGGTGCGTCCCCAAGCAAGGCCCCGGAAAAGGGGGGGTGGGGAGGTATTTGCCGCACACGTTGTAGGGAAAGGCCGTGCAAGGGAGGGAAAAAGCACTGACAGAAACAATTTCCTTGTGATCCCTTGGCAGAACCTCCCAACGCGGGCTGACTCGACCCAGCCCGCCAGCAGGGGCAGAGTCTCCAGGCGGAGCAACGCGCCGTAGAGCTCTGGGTGGGTGGCCACCAGTGTGAACCTTGCAGGTTGTTAGGGGCAAATTTAAAACCAGATTGTTCACAAAACCTGCAAGGATCTTTAGAACCAGATTGTTCACAGAACCAGATTGAGTTGGTGGGATATTTAAAACCAGATTCTAGGGGCAACATGCTCGTAGTTATCTTAGGATATCGGACCTTGTAGCCTTAGTGTGACACACCCCGACCCATTAGATTCTTATTTGACGAACGCAACGGAGAGGATCAAGTATCTGGTTGGAGGCAAGGGGATTTATGGACAACGCGGGGCCCGCTGGGCCACTTGCCACTGAGATGCTTCTTGATCTCTTCGTCCAGGTCTACCTCACTCTTCAGGAACTTGTCGGGATCGTCGCCATGCCTCACGTGGCCCGGATGCGGACCGTTGGCGGGACATTTACGCAAACAAACAAAAGACACCCAAAAACTACCAAACGCAGCGAGCCAACATCACGACGACACGCCGCACTCTGCTCTTCCGCTTGGCTTGCTGCAAGCAAGAGGCTTTATTCTCAGTTCCCGGTTCACGCGCACTTTGCGCTCGAACTGAAGATGCATGCGCTTCAGGGCGGGCTCGTTCAAGCTCTCGACCTCGCAAAAGGAGGGATTGGCCAAGGACCCACTGGCCTAACCCACGTCTGGCATCACCTAGCCCACGTGGCACCCAAAAGGACTGGCCACACCGACCCTAACATCTTCAGATCCTCATCAGCCAAACGCTACAGGTCGAGGTGGCGCCTGGAGTGAGAAAAGGGTTCAACCACTTCACCCATACAAACCCCGATTGCCCCTTCCGGCTGCCGAAAAATAAAGTCAGCCCTCCAGCCGCAAAAACTTGGCACCTAGTCACGGACCTCTTCTTGCTCAAAGCTCAGGCACGGGCGTGGACCTCCTCGGCTCGGAGCGAGGAGCCGCACATGGGTTACTCACGCTCACCTCCACCGAACCGCTCACAGCCGTGTTTCTGAGCTCTTGGAAAAACGTCCACGGACCTCTGCAAAGTTCCCTTCCAAGCCAGGACGTGCTTCAACCCCATGCCGAGCCGCGTCGGCCTTGTCCAGCATGTGCTGGATATCCTCCTTGGATACTTCCTCTGGGAGGTCATCCCCAAGCCTCACCGCCATGAGCTGCAGATGGGGAGACAGCTGTGCCGAGCAAGGGCATCAAAAACCAAGAAACGCCAATACCACCCCCTGCCATGGTCATTAAACCGCCTCACGGCATTGAACCCACATCGTTCCAAGGCAAAGCGTCTCCTTGGGCGATCCCACTCTTGCTGGACCGCGCTTTTGGACTGCGTGGTTCGGGCGTCCAAAATCTCAGTACCTGCTTTGGGATGGCTGGGGAGTGAGAAACCAGCCTTTCACCAAGAACCTGCCCGCTGAAGCTAGAGATGAAACCTCAAAAACTGTCCAAAATACAAATGTGTAGGGCACTGAAGCCCACAGAAAGAGAATCGAGGCTACGCGTGGAAGAGCAATGTTAGCAAGCAAGTCCATCCGTCTCAGCCGAAGCGCTCAATCCGCTTGGCCTTCGGCTCGTCCTGCAGGGCTGGCTGCTGGATTTGAAAGAATCGTCAAGAAGCATTGGGTGCGGCTTTATGTTTAAACACAATGTGGCCGCTACTCAAAGAAACAGAGGCCTTCTCTAAAAACCTCAATTGGAGATCCTGACGCAAACGATGGATGCGTTGGCGTCGATCCCAGGCAAAAGGCTCCTTGAGACTCTGGAAAAAAACCCTGGGCTGACGACTGGCGAAATAAATATCGTTAGGCTTATCTTGAGGTCAGGCAAGGCATTTGCTTGGTCCCTACGAACTGAAGGAAAGAAGCAAGATCCCCAGCCTCTGGCCAAGACCAACCAGACCCCATGAAAGCAGCACCCGTGTTTCTCTTTACATGGCACTAAACCAGGGCTTGGTTTCAAACCGCGCAAACTTGGAGCAAACCCGGAAAGAAGAAGAAGAAGCACGCGCGCGCGCTCTCCACAGGCCTGTGGCGCAGGAACGGCCGCCTTCCGCTTCACCGGCACTGGCGGGGGCCGCATCTCCCCAAGGCCCTCCATGGCCTTGGCGCGAGGCGCCACGGCTGGGTCCATAACGCATGCTCTTGGACAGAGCCGTCGCATGCCCAAAAGGGGTGGTTCAAAGGAAGACCGCCCCAGGAACGCTGGTTTATGCATGGTGCACTCCAGGAAAAGGAACTTTAGGAGGAATGACAAGCTCCCTGAAAGGAGTGAGCAATTATGGCCATTCAATTCATTTATCACCCTGCTGGCAACTTAAGAAACAACACTCCCGGACTACATGGCAGGATGGCGAGGAAACAAAGGCTGCATACAAGCGCAGCGAAAAGCGTGCAAGTCTCACATTCCAATCCCCCTTGGCCTGTGAGAACAGGACCTTGGCTTCTTTTCCATCACGCATCGAGGGTTTTGAAAAGTCCGGGTCGTGACATGTGGACATCCTAAGACGCGAAAACGGATGATGCATGCACCACGACGGAGAACCGGCTATGCTGTGCGACGGGCAGGGAGGCAACTCTCCAAAAACATACTGGGGCCATCCCCGTCTGAATACACCGCGCCTCCCAGCCCGCCATAGCCAAGTTTGTTCGGCAGACTTTTTGCTGCCGAATGCTAAAGTGCCACGTACCTACATTGCCTCTTGCAAATGTACCGGGCAAGATTGGTTTAGCTGTGCAGCTACGCTATCATTGGCGGCATCAGAACTGCTTCTCCGTAACGCCCGCGGACATGATGCCGGTGGAGGACAGGCCGCCGCTCACGATGTTGCCCATCTCGTCCACGATCTCTGATCCGCTCCACTTCTGGTGGGTCAGGGTCTCTACCTTGTTCTCGCGCTCCTTTCGCTGGATCATCTGCACGTATGCCGCCGCACCGTGCTTGGAGTACTCCTTGGCAAAGAGATCAATGCTAAGGGCATCGCAGTGGAAGCCGGCCAGGGTGATGAATTGCCAGCAAAAGCCGAGCTTGGCAAGGTCCCAAATGAAGGACTCCATCTGCGCATCAGTCATGCCGGCACTGTCCCAGTTGAAGGACGGGCTCAGGTTGTAAGCCAGCATCTGGTGAGGAACTGCTGCGCGCACCTCCTTTGCAAACTGCGTGGCCTGTGCCAGAATGGGCTTGCCGGTCTCCATCCAAATGCAGTCAGCATAGGGGGCGAAAGCGATCGCACGCTCGATGCAGAACTCAGTGGAGCCCTTAATGCGGAAGTAGCCTTCCACGGAGCGCGCGGAATTCCAGTCAAAGAAGACATCGCAGCCCATGTCTGCGGCTGCCTTGCGCATCTGGTCAATGGACATCTTGCGAGAATCCTGGAGCCACTTGGCTGGGTCCTGGCCCTTGGCCTTCAGTGCCTTGGCAACGGCATCAGGGAAAGTCATGCAACCCGAGCGCTCCTCCCAATCCTTGTCCGTGCCCTTCCTCATTGCTTCGTACAAAGGCTCCACACCCTTGACGGTGGCACCCTTGATGTGCGGGTGGTCGATGGTATCCTCGGCTTACCCCAACGCAAGCCCTGTGGATGAATAGCCCCAAGATCCAAAATGGGACACCATGAACACCCCTACCCATGAGCGCGCTCATGGGCAAGGCTCCATGAGTTCCAAGATGGGGCCACTTTCCTTCATTCACAGAACCAACCAACCACCTCCCCTGACCCCTGGCTCCCTCCCAAGAAAGGCCTTCCTTCACTTCGCTCGGGCCCCTTTGATCCAAGGCTCGATGTTGGAGTCGATCATGGTGGCGGCCTCCGCGTCCGTGCGCGCCACCACCACCAGGGGCGAGTTCAACACGTCCGCCTGGCGGAGATGCCCCACACATATCCAGGAGGGGTTTGGAAAAAATGTCCGGCGCAGCCGGAGAACTGGAAAATTGGCCCTGGCAATCACTTCTCAGCTTGTCGCAGCCTTCCCTACGTGGTGCTTCAGTTGGTGCTTGTTTGAGGGTCAGGACTTCCAGCTTTAATGGTGCAATTCGCACCTGCCCCTCCCCCCGCCAAGAAACAAAAAGAAGAAGAAGAAGAAGAAGTCATTCCCTTTACTTGTAGAACCAACTGCTTGAGCCCGGGCTCATTTAGACCTCCCTATCAAATGAGATGACTTCAACTCGGCTGACTGTCTGGGGCCCAAAAGGCGGGAAGGCGGGGCGCCAATGGGGGGGAAGCAGACATGCTTTAGCAAAAGGACCAATCCTGAATCCTTGCCTTGGGTTACAAAGGAGTTGCTCCCCTTTTTTTCCCAAACTGGGATGGAAGACCGGATTGGCAACACGCCATTTTGCTTCCCCAGAATTAGCTTTCCGTTTTTCTTTGTTCTTGTTTGGGGTCCCCCGTTGTTTTCCACTAATCTGGCAAACCAAAATTCCGCCAAGTTTAGACGAAGCCAAACCACGGCTTCTTCTATTTAGGGGCTAGCTTTTGGGGATCCCTGAAATAAGGCTGCCTGTTGCAGCTGCCAAGTTGGCGGTGAAATGGACGAGCACATGTGCTTCTTTCAATTTGAATGTTGTGATGGAATTTTACTCTACACCTCCCCTCCCCTCCCTTGCACCCAAGGCAAAAAGTGTGGGAGAGGGCTTTGTCTGGGGCCTCCCCCACACACCAAAACCACACGCACACCTCATACCTTGCCATGGCGCGCCCAGCCTGCAAACGGATGGCGATGAGGCGCTGGATGTGCTCCTCGCCCCCGAGTGGGGCGCTCGAGGGGTCGAGCCCTCGCACCCCAAAGTTGTTGTGGATCCCCCGTTCACTTCACAAGCTCCCGTCGCGCAAGTCTGAATACTGCAACGTACGAACGTAAGAACCCAACTCCACATCACTTCCTTTTTGGTTGAGATAAAGAAGCCCCGGACCAAAGAAGGAAGCACTGCTGAAGTCATCCCTTAACCTAAGCGAGGGGAGAACACACATCTCGGCTTCTCCGAATACATCAGAAAATGACTTCCGCCAGGCCCAAATTTGGACGTTCACGAGCTTGGGAACCCCTTGTCCCGCTAGGAAGTCACTTGCCAGCTTCACCCTTCAAGAGCCCGCGCCTTGCAGCGGAAAGCCCCCCCCCTCCCAATGCCTGCCTTGAAATGTTTGGCACAGCCTCCCAAACCCAAAAGAGGCGGAAAAGACACAACCGCAGCAACTACATCATCCACTCCCCGCATCCACTCACCACATCCACGCACACCCCACCCGCAAGACACGGCGCCTGGGACGCCCTCGCCCCCCCCTCCCGCCCTTGGGCGCTTCAGCTCCTGGGTGGAGACCAAGACCTTGCCGCCCATGTGCCCGCACTTCTTAGTGCCGGGCTTCTGGTCCTACCAGTCCCAGCGCAAACATGAGCCTACGAGTCATATCCCGAGCCCGCTGGGAAATCCGGATTTCCCCAGCGTGACGCCATTGCCCACGTCATTTCCCAAGGTCCCAGGGTGAAATGCTGCAAAAACCCCTCAGGGTGGACAAAACGCTTAGGGTCTTAGACTCTTGGGGTCTTAGACTCTTAGACCTGAGCAAAACGCCCAGCAGTCTCAGGACCTTTTTCTCCTCGCAGCGGCAGCCTCGCCGCGTCCCATACGGCGCCCGCGGCCTCCACCCACCGCAGCCAGTCCGCCCACACGGAGCCCTCCGCCTGGCGGAACCTCGCAACCCGATTTGGTTGGAAGCTGAAGGCTATGGAGTTGGCCTTTCAGAATTTCATGAAGCAACGAATGGCAAGTCCATCGCCGCTTCGACCTAACTCGCCATGGCACCCTCGATCAGAACAGGCCATGAAGCAGCCACGCATGCGACGCCCCAAGCTGCTCCTCGAGCGTCCCCCCGCTTTTTCTCCGTTTGAGGGGGCGGTTTTCCTTCATCTGTCAACTTTCTCGGCCGCACAAATCGAAGCTCCGCCCCCCCCCCCGCTTTCTGTCGCAGGGGCGTGGCGGCGCAAGCGACCACCACCAGCCCCCGCTTCCCCCGCGTGAGCGCCACGTTGGCGCGGCGGCCGTCCGCCAGGAACCCCAAGCGCCCCGCCGCGTTGGCGCGCACCGCGCTGAAGATCACCAGCTCCGCCTGCCATAGCCCGAGGCCCTTGACACCCGAGGCCCTTAGGCCCCCTATGGCTCAGGCAAGGCTGTAGGGGGAAGAACCGCCTCCCCCCAAAAAGCGCTCGGCCGACGGCTGGACGGCTGGCCTCGGCCCCCTGGAAGCCGTCCACCGTGGACACTCGCACCCGCGCCAAGCGCTCCGACGCCAAGGTCTTGCGCAGCAGCTCCTTCTGCCGCAGGTACCTCGGATTTTGGTCGAGTTCATGGCCCAACCTGCGCCTAACCTTCGTTTTTACCTTGCGAAGTTTCATGCGAAGGACCGACATAGTGAGCTGACGACATAACCAAACAAAACAAGACCCCCACTGCACACAGATTTCACGAAGCTGGCGTCCAAGCTGCGGCGTCAGCACCACCAGCTCCTCCGGCTCCAGACTTCCCCCCTGGGCCAGCAGGTGCTGCGCCAAGACGCGGATGGCCTCAAAGTCGGCAAGTTGCCAGGCCCTTTGGACATGCTTCAATGACAGAGCTAGCCTTCCCGGGACAGAAGTGGCACCCTTGCAGCCGGAGAAGCAAGGGTGAAATGGCCAAATGTCTAGATCAGGGGGAAACAGGGCTTGGGCCAAGGTTTGAGGTGAACAGCTCAACGGCATCTACCTAGCATCCGAAAGCCTTGTGAAATGTAGCGCGACTGCATTGGGCATTCTGCCTGGCGGATGACCATGTTTTTCGGGTCAACTGCCACAAAAGGTACCCCCCCCCACCACTTTTGTTTGTGATGGATGCTCCTTTTGGTTTTCTTGGACTCCTTCACCCTGGGCGCAGTGTTCTTTAAACACGAATTATCCCATTGGCCTTCTGGAAAAAAAGATGCAACCAAACATTGGGACCATTCTCTAACCAAACCGGTCAGTTGTGTTTAAACAAACTTTGAGACCACCTGGTCCTGTGAACCAAGTTCGTGCAACCAACCGTCGGCTGGGATCATTCCCCAACCAACCTGGTTCCTCCTGTTTCAACAAGTGCTTCCCCCAAACCTTGGTAAGGAGAAAGGAATATCCTCTCTTTTGTCAAATGAAATTCCGACGGCCTTTTTGGGACCCCCTCAAGATGTTGTTTGGAAAACCGACCAGGCGGACCCCCTTCTCGCCGCGCCTCGGCCTCCGCCGGGTTGGAGAAGGAGGTGCCTTGGGGCACCTCCTCGCCCTGGCCCCGGGCTAGGACTTGTTGTATTTGTTCCGGAGGGAGGCCATTTTTTGTGGAGCCACAGTCCCCATATTGGCCTCCCCTGCCACTTACGTGTTCGTTGTGCGTCCCCTGGTTGGGGACACCAAGCTGATTGCGTTTCCTTTGTGAGGGTGCGCATTTTTTGGGGTTGTCAAGAAACCAGAATGAAATACATAGTCTTGAGGCAGGCGTCTGAGTTTTCAAGACATGTTCATTCCCCTTTGGCGCCTGGCAATCCACCAGCACCGCCCTTTCAGCCAGCCCAGGGATGGGCGGCCGGCTGGGCGCCAGGTCCCGCACCAGGCCCTGAGCCCAGGGTGGTTTCCCTTTTCACCTGCTGGACCGCATGCCTCTGCATCCTCTGTCCAAGCATCATGGCAGTTGGCAGTGGAAGGGAGGCCTCTTCAAGACTGTCTTCCAAACCCTGTCAGCTTCCAGGATTGTTGGAGAGGCACCCTCCCACCAACAAACCTGGAGGTGATGGGGAAGACCGTGCTTGCATGCTTGGTGCTGAGAGGGTAGGGTCAAGTTCCTGTTTGACAAAACTGATGATTGCTGTTTGGTGTTGCTGTTCTGGGGTTTGGCACTAAAGAATCCATCCTTGCGCTGCTTTCACCAAATAAATGCTTGAGCTCGAACCGGGTCCAAACAAGGCTACCAAGGGCAAATGCAAATCCTCTTGCGCAGCGGGCCCTGCTTTTGCACCCCCCCCTTTTTGGGACCTACAAACTCAAAAAATAACATTTAGGTCACCGAAAAACAGGTCAGGTTCTGGGTCGAAGGGAGTTCTTCCCCACCCACCCACCCACCCACCCACCCACCCACCGACCCATTTTTGCTCAGCTCGCGTCTCGCATCACGTAACAACACCAGGCCCAAGCCCCAAGCGCTCGCCTGGTAGAACTGGAGGTTCGGGAACTCCGCGAGCACCGCGTGCATCCGGCGCTGCTCATCCAGCAGCACAGGCGTCGACACCTCCTGGTGACCCAACACGTGAACCTGAGCCTATGTTTAGTGAGAGACACTTAAACTGCGCATGTTCACGCCGGCATTTTCTCCAGCGCTCTCTTGGGAGACCAGCATTTCGGCAATTTCTGCGAAGCCGCGGGCCATCCGGAGCTTTGTCGCTTCAAAGCGGACTGCCCCTAAAACCCATTCATTCGTTCCGTGGCTCTCGGAAGGTTATTAACATTCACCAACCGAAAAGAAGAAGCGGATCCCCTCTGGATAGACAAAATCCTGCACCACTTCAAACCATGGCTGAAACCACTGTCTGTTGGTATTTACGGGGGAAATCGAATCATTCCTGGGTTCCTTTGGAGGTGCGAGTGCAGGATTTCGTCCATCCACAGTATGAAACAACACCTTTTGGATGAGGGATCCCTATGCAAGACACCTTTTCTCGGTTGCTTTCTGCTCCCCTGCTAAAAGTTCAACGTTTGGTGGTTTAATGGAAAACTTAGTAGTTGGCAAAAAGTTAAAGTCCTTTCATCCAAGCAAAGTGCACCAAAGTCTTGGGTGAAGTCACAAGCCCCCCTTCACGCGGGATTCGTCGCGCGTCGCGCGTCGCACGTTGCCTCCAGGCGCTCGAAGAGGCTCTTGCCGAGGCCCAGCTTCTCGGCGTCCCGGCAGAGCACCGTGGGCGGCAGCTGCCGCTGGTCCCCGATGAGCGCCAGGTGCGAGCACCCGTTGCCTTAAAACAAGCGGGATGCCGCTGGTGAGTTGGGCTATCGCCCCTCCTAAGGAGAGGGAGGGGGTGGTGGGGTGGAGGGGGTCCAAAAATTGTAGTTTTGCAATTCCCCCCCCCAAAAAAAATGCAACAGGCAATTGCATTGCAATTAGAACACACCCCCACACCCCCAATCTCATTAGTTGGGGGGAGGTGATGTAGGGCTCTCACTGGCATGGGAGTCTGTGTAAATATGAATGGGCACATACATTTGCGTGCAACGTATTGCTGCATATGTTGCATTCGATTGCACACGTAGGAGTACTCCTGTCCAAAGGTGGGATATCTACACAAAGAATGTAGAGGGAATATGGTGACTCAAGTTCTCCTCACTCCTCTCAGAAAACGGGAAAATGAGGGGGTTGTGCTGGACACCTTATCGTGGATGTTTTTTACAGAAGCACGATTGCCAATCCTGGACGAAGGAGAAACACGTTTAACGGTTGCCAATGTCCCTAAGGGCAATGCGTGTCTTAAATGAGCTCAGCTTATGCTACTTTGTGGGAGGCAGAATAACTGATTTCAAACTCGAGCAACCTTCTGAGCGATAATTACCCCTCCTTGCCGAACCGGAAAAAAAAAGAAGAAAAAAAAGAAGAAGAAGAAAAAACGAAAGCAACGCCCTATTTTGTGGGGTTCAAATCCCTTTGGAGACAGGCGCGTACATCATCCCAGCACCCGCGTTCCAGAACTCAGAAACGGCTTTGCGTTTCTTTAGGTTACCCTTCTTCAGGTTGTTGATGGAGGCTACTGCAACAACGGGCAACATCACCCCCCACCAAAGTGGACTCAAAAGCGCCTATACCGATGCCAGGTGTGGGGTGTCCCAGTTGTGTTGCAAGGAAAACCGTTCAAAGCGTCTATTCCTACAAAAAACAAAAACAACAACTTCTTTTGGCCAGTCCAAAGGGAAACCGAAGGAAAGAACCCAAAACCCCCAAATCTTCTTTGAGGGTTCCCTGGTTCTACCCCAACCCCCTCCGTTGCGGCCCCCGGATTTCTCCAGACTCCGAGGGGCTGATGGGCAGCAGCGTGCTGGGCTCCACGGATTGGGTGGCCTCATCCACCAGGACCCGCATAAAGCGCTGGGAGCGCATCAGCTCGTGGCCTGCGCTGGCGCAGGTGGTGACCACCACCTGGAAGCTGCCCAGCCTGAGACAAGCGGCGGCCGCGGGCCGAGTGGGCTGAGTGGGCAGAAGCTGCTTAGAAGGGGTTATCAAGTGGGTAGAGGCCCAGCAAAAAAATGTGGGGAACCCAGGTGCATGGCTTAAAGCAGCGTTGTGGATGCTTTGTTTGAAAGGTTCATGGCTTAAAGCAGCGTTGTGGATGTTTGTTTGAACAGCCAGACCCTAGCCTTTCATATGGGGGGAAGATTTAAAGAGCCAGACCCTGAGCCTTTGAAGGGAAGTTTGAATACTAGGCATTGCAAACCATGGCTTGAACGGGCGTTGGCCCAAGCCTGCTGGAAAGGGCGGGTTCCAAAACCAGACACCTGGTTCACGAGTTGTTTTGGGTCATTTTGCTGGGATCAACCCTGAAAGGGTGCCGAAAGAGGGGAACAATAAATGATATCAATGATATCCAGTTGGTTTTGCGCAGCAAACCCCGGGTAAGAATGGTTCGCACACAGTCGCCGACAAACAAACAAAAGATGGCATCTCACACTGGGAAAGCAGCCGGCAACGACAAACAAAACGAGAGGAGAGGAGCGCCAACTGGGCTGAGGGGCGCATCCTTTGCTGCCAGCATGCGCTGATACGCGCTGCTGCTGCCAGTGGCCGCCATGTCGATGGCCGGCGCGAAGCGGTAGGCCTTGATGCCCCACTTGGCCAGGCTCCTGTAAGTTTATGGGCGCAGACAGCTTTGACTAAGCGAGCAACTAAGCAGCTGACAGACTGCACTTGACTTGGTAAGAGGCTCTGCCGGCACACTCTCTCTCTCTCTCTCTCTGTCTTTTGGCAGCCGCCCCGCACATCAGCCAACAAATCACCTTCAGCAAAAAGCAGCCCAGCCAAATTAGCAGCCGCACTTCAACCGACAGACTGGCTTTGCGGTCTTGCCAACTGTCTGCTTTGAACAAAAAGCAGCTCAGCCAAGTTAGTAGCCGCAGATCAACCAGCAGACTTACACAAACAAAAAAATAGAAGCTCCTGTGCAAGTTGTCCGCCGCCACGTTGGAGTCAGCAGCGCACAAAATGCGGTCCTCGAGGATATCAACCCCGGGCGAGCCAGCGAAGCGATGGCAAAGCACAAAAGCAAAAGTACCCTACCCCGGCGGAGGAGGCCCCAAAAAGGAAATCGTACCAGCGATGGCAAAGAACAAAAGTATCCCCACCCACCCCCCACCCACCCCCCACCCAGGTCCAAAAAAAAGAGGAAATGACCCGTGGCAAGGCACAAAAAAAAAGAAGCCCAGGTCCCAAAAAATCAAAAGGAAAATGAGCGATGGCTAAAAGCTTCCCCCCCTGCCCAGGTCCCCAAAAGAAAGGAAATGAGCCATGGCAAGGCACAAAAGCTCCCCCCCCCCGCCCAGGCCCCGAAAAATCAAAAGGAAATGAGCGATGGCAAGGCACAAAAGCTTCCATCCCGCGCAGAAAGGAAATGAGCGATGGCAAGGCACAAAAGCTCCCCCCCCCCCCCCGCCCAGGCCCCGAAAAATCAAAAGGAAATGAGCGCTGGCAACGCACAAAAGCATCCCCCCTTCTGGAGACCCCAAAAGGAACTGGAGGACACCCCGTCCCATCCAAATTCACCACAACGAGCCGCGCCGAGGGTGCGCCAGGCCAACACGATGCACGCGGCCACCGTGGTCTTTCCAGTGCCCGGAGGGCCCTGGATGAGCGTGAGCCGGCGCTCCAAAGCCATCTGCACCGCAGCCACCTGCAGGGATCTCTCGGGTTTATGGCAAGCCCCCCTTGGATCGAAAGAAAATGTACCATGTCCCGGGGGGGGGGGGGGGTTCTCCGATTTCGAGAAATGCAAAGCATCGCCACATGGGCTACGCTCAAAAAAGGCTATTTGGGAAATCGTGTTTCTGGGCTTGCCTCAAGGTCTCCTCAAAATTTCGCCTCAAGGTTTCCTGGAGGTCCCTTAGGCCTCTATTCATATCTTCCCTGCAACGGTGGTCCATCCGGATGCAACACGCCAAGCTGGATCCGCCTACCATGGCTTCCTTTTGAAAGGTCCTGTTTCACCGAATTCCCAAGATCTAGCCTTTTATGTTCACGACAAAGAGTTGGGACTTCGGATCCTTCGGTGGACCGAAAATTCGCAAAACGAAGCAAACCCTGCCCTAGGTAAACCGTCGTGGGCCAATCCTCGTTTTACCCCAGCGGCCAATTCCAGAAGGCAGTTGTTGTTTTTGTTTTTTTTTCTCCTGGAGGGACGCATCAAAAACCAACCTACTTTACAAGCCAATCCTCTCAATGGGCCAGCGATGGCGTTTCTGTTGACTTGCCCAAATGCATCCCTTCAGGGACCCTTATATGAGGAAGCTGACGTTGACAACCCCCCCCCCACCTGCGCGGCGCTGAGCTGGTACCCCACACTGCGCGCCTGGGCTGGTCCAAATGAGTGGGAGCAAGAGGCGCCTCATGCATACGCATATTAGATGTGCAATAGGTAAAAATAGGTAAGCATATCTCTATACTTGCCAGTCGATGTGCTGTCAGGAATGCCACAACATGTGGAAAGCTATATGCTGATGGCTTTGCGCCAACCATAGCTGCGGTTCAAGCCCCGAAATTGCCAGCCCAGACCACAATGATCTGGGTCCGCTAAGGTGATTTCGGGAACCCCTCCAAATTCTCAATTCGATCCAGGTTACCTGCCATTCGAGGCTGACCTGCCTACTCCTCTGAAAGATTCAACTTTCAGGGACCTTCCACCAGGTGCCCCGAAATGCAACATTCTGGGGCCTGCGCACTAAACCGCATTCCCTCCTTTTGGACGTGCTTGTTAGAGCAACGCACATGTTCCCACGGGCCAAGGCGTGGAACGGCTAAGCGGAAGGGCAGGACTCAGGAAGCCACAGAAAACCGCTCTTTCGGAAGAACGAAAAGTAGGGCCATCCCCCCTACCTTAAGGGGGAGGGGGGTGGGGGGTCCCCCCTCCCCCAATTCCAGGGGGTGGGGATAGTAGGCCGAAAGCCGATTCGCCCCAACGGCAGGGCACCTTTGTCTGCACCACCGCAAGGCGCTCAGCCACATCCTCTCCCACTCCGCGTGGGGTGGAGCTGGCCACGCTTTGGGCCTGGCTTCCTGCGTTCCAAAGGCCGGCCGGGCAGGCCCCAGTTCTGAACTGCTGAGTGTACTGCCCGCAACTTCCTTATGCCTATTGCAGGGCCTCAACTAGTTTGCTGACAAAAGGAAAGCGTTTGTCCCCGCCAAGCCGGACCCCAAACTTTGCGTGTAGAAATGACTCCCAGGCTTTCACCGTGGCTCAACTGACACCGCAGTCGCATGATACCCAGTTGCATGACCTGGGTGGAAAAAATGCGGGGGGAGCTGAACATCTTTTAACACTTGGTCAACGTTCACCCCTAAACCAAGGACAAATATGTTTCTTTGTTCATCATTGTGGTCAAGGCCAAGGAAGTAAGACACCACCAAGGGTTGAGGCAAGAAGAGGGCAACAGGGTTCTAGGGGTTGATTCCCCTTTCTTTTCAACCATCGTTCTTTTCAAAAACCGGCTGTTTCCCTTGGATTCTGCCGGTTTTCTGAAAAGATCTCGGATCCCTGGAAAGAATGGAAATGGAAGTGTCCCCTAGAAGGGTGCCAACTGACCTGACACAAAAAAAAAACTCGCCGCCGCCTTCTCGGAAGCTCTCCACCACGATCTGCGCCATCTCCGGCTCCAGGCGGAGGTCCCCCAGGCCCGCCCCGCGGTCCTCGACGACTTCGGTTTGGCATGGGGGGAAACCTACACATGGTGACACATGGCTGTGGCTCGAAAAAATGGAACCCAAGATGACGTGGTAAATGGAACCCAAGACTACAACGCGTAACCCTGGCTCCTTGATTTTGAGCCACACCCACATGTAAATGAGAGGAGGTTGCTCCAAAGATGAAAAGGTAATCCTTGAGGTGCGTGAAACACAACCCCAGACGTTCAATCCCAAAAGGGGCGCCCAACTTTCACTCTCCTCCAGCGGCACCAGGGGCTGGGCGGCTGCCCAAACTGCGGCGATGCAGCGCAGGGACGTGACCTCCGACTCCAGGCCGTAGACGTCGAAGAGCTCCTCCTCCACGTCCTCTGGCCGGACACCTTGAAGCTGCCAAGACTCAGTCAACACATGGGTGTGGGTCAAAATAGGTACCCAGAACGGAACCCTGGAAAATGGCAACAAAGACACTTTACCCCTGGTGGTCTAATTTCGGTTTCTGTTGATTTGTAGGGGGTAGCTCGAGGGTTGCGTCTTTAGACCTTTACACCCTTTCACAAGCTTCACAAAGGGTAGAAAGTTCGGTGCTGGCCAAGGCCAAACAGCTGAAACTCGCCTGAGCACCAAACCGGGAGATATAGGGGACCTGCGATCACTCTTGCAAAGTGATCATTGCAGTTTGGGACAGCTTGGAAAGCTGCCGGAAGGCTGGGCGGGCCACACATGCCGCGCGAAAATGTACAAGAGGCAGCTGTTCATGCATTCAGCGTTAAAGGGATAAACAAGCTTAAAGCTGAACACCAAAGGGCACAACTCCCTCTATGTAGGCAAGCAAAAGGGATGACAACTCTCACCCAACTATGTTCCACTATGTTCTTTTGTTGGCCCGTGCTCACTGTTCACCTTGAGCGTCTCCCTTTCTTCGGTCGTCCAAAGGCGGGTCCTCCACGCCGATGGTATAGCACCGCACCGTCAGCTTCTCCTTTCCGGGCTCTTTGGCAACGGAAGTGACCACCTGAGTCACCACGGCCACGGGAAAAGCGCAGACCACCCGTCCGGAAACTCTTGCATCTTCAAACCGATGTGGCGAATGGGGCAAACCGCGCTGACCCGTTTGGGGAAGATCCCTTTTTTTGGGGGGAGGTATACCTATATACCGCCTTTCCATGCACCAATTTGTCACCAACCAACCTGGGATCTGAACCAAGCCACCGCCAGATGGTCCGCGCCCCCGCGGGTCTTGAGATACACCACGTCCCCCGCCCGCATCTCGCTAAGGAGAAGCTCCGACGCCCCCCGCACGGGCCTAGGCGCAGAGGCCGGCTTCTAGGCTTTCCAGAAGCTATGGCCAAACCCAACGAACCAACGAAAAGCATCGCACTGTTCGGAAAAACTGGGCAGCGCCGTCCAATGGGTATGAATCTTCAAAGGTACTCCCCCAGAAGTGGCCCGTGGACAAACGGCCAAGCATGCATTCATGATACCGAAAGACACATTCCCATTCATACAAGGAGGGGGGCGGGGGGAAACAGGGGGTCCCTCAAAATGAATGGTTTGGTTTGCTGTGGAGGTCTTTGTACGACATCGTGTCGGCGGCCCTTCATCTGTTCTGCACTCAAAAGTTCCCCATTTGAGCCAACACCACGAGTCATCGAGAACACCAAGAAAGCAAAGGAGCCGGGAACCCGAGAACCGTCGCCGCTTTGGCCACGAAACGCCAAGGTCAGATAGGGCAGCACGCAGTTGGCCTGCCGCATCACAAGCCGCTTAGTGTCCGCATCCGCAGCCGCCTGGGCCTCGTTCAGTCGCAGCTCGGTTGCCATGGCCTGCGGGGACCCTTGTGGCAGCACATCTCAGTCTCACTGGTGCGCACGCACGTTGTCCCCCAAAGCCAGGGACCCGTTTTGTCACTTTAAGAACTTGCTTGGGGACAAACCTACACCACATTTTTTGAGCCATCGCTTCCAAAAAAACACTGGCTTCCTTTTGGATGCTGCACCGCATGAATGTCCTTCGGTTTGCTGGCTCCCGCCGAACGAATCCCTTCCAGCACTTCCGGCGGGTGGCCTGTCCCTGTCCCTTGGGCCTGGTTGGCCGCCACACGCTCCATGGCAGCCAGGCGCCGGAAGTGCTGGAAGTAGTCCTGCAGGGGCGGACTTTTTTTTCGCTTCCTCCCACTAACATGGGTGTGGCTCAAAAACTACAAAGCTGGGGTTACGCAGGTGTGAGTCTACCTTTCCAGCTGCCAGGGTTCCATTTTGGACCCCAATTTTTGAGCCACGCCCACATGGCACCTGTGGGAGGGTACCTAGAAGATGAATTTCCTTTTGGAAGGACCCCGTGTCAGATGCCATGTTGGTGGGAGAGGGGGTTATACTTTGCTTTGTGTTTGAATCCTTCAGTCCAAGTTTCAACCATACTCAGCATCATTCATAGAGGGCTTTTCTTGGAAGAGACAATTACTTGCAAGGATCCCTCTTGATCATCACTATCATCGTCATAGATCAGAAATCAACATGGGGTCGTCCAAATGGAGGAATCCTTGCAATGGGTGGCTTACTGTTGGCTCCCCTTGAAAAGCACCCAAAAAAAAACGGCACTTCCTCCAAAGCGGAACACCAAAGTACGCCAAAACGGCCATGTCATCAACAAAGCCTCCTGTCCCAATGACGCCTTTGGCGCGCGCCACTATGATTTACAGATTGACACGGAACCCCAAAAAAACAAATCCGTGCCGAGGAACTTCCTTTTGGGAAATGGCTGTGGTCAAAACCCTGTACCCCTGGTGCACATCAAAATAGGTGGCAAATAGATGTTCATCCACCCCAAAATGGAGCCATAGGTTTTGCCCAACGGCCATTGGGTTCCGTGTGCATGGAACATCTCCGCCGGATCCCTCGATCTGTAGCGAGCCCTCCTTGTGCGCCAAGGACCGAAAGCTGCCCTCCTGACGCACCACTGGCCAAAGGCCCGCGACCGATACGGCTCCAGGGGGGGGGGGGGGGGAAGACTCACAGCCTTCCACCATGAGTCGTTCATGGCAACTGGAACTCCAGACGTAAGAAACGAGAGAGCTTTGAAAGACAGGTGAAGTATTCGTGGAAGAAGAGATGAAAATGGCGAGTCAAGGGTACCTTCCAGCCCTCACATCCCCCAACCCAACTCCAAGAACTTCAGAATCTCTCCGTGTGCCGGCGGGGAAGATTCGGGATTTTTTTAATTGCCTGGAATGAAGTCCCTGACCTATCCCCCCTTCCAGGAATGTCTAATGACTCTTTTGCGGCTGGACATGTGCACAGCTTAGAAGCGAGAAAGAGATGGAAAAAAACGAACCCCGAATTAATTGTTATAAGTCATCTGGATTCTTCTGTCTAGTTCTCTTTCCTGGCACATGAACCCAAATGGAATTATTAATTGGCCTCTCTCTGTCTCTCTCGTTGTTCGCTCGAAAAACGGCGAGAATTGGTAGGTTAGTTGGGGGGCCGTTCATGGTCACTCGCGCTTGCCCTTTCGCATCTGTGTCAGAAAGGAGGACCGAGACATACCCAAGATGGGTTTTGGTTTTCGTTTGGTTTCACAAGGGAGGCCAACCCCAACAAGGGTACCTCCTCTATATGCACACACACGCGTATATTATGCGAAGGCTCAGTGAATCTTTGCTAAGCCACAACAGTTTCTTCACTCCCAGTGGCCCCTCCTGCGACCGCCCGACCGCCCCACCGCCCGACCGCCCGACCGCTCGACCGCCCCATCCTCCAAAGCGACGCCTTGCAGCGCCCGCAAGGCCGCCGCCGCCTTCTCGCCCTCCGCTACGTGCGCCGCCGCATCCAGCAGCGCCTGGATGTCACAAGCCCAGGTGTAATGGCCGCACCTTTTTTGGTGTGGGAGCCTGTGTTCCAGGTTTATTCTAAGGAAAACGAAAGGAAAATCAACGATTCCACCCCCCCCTCTATTTCGAGACATGCCCACATGTTCAAACCCCGTTCGTTTTAAACCTTTTGCTGGGTCGTTTCGGGGGATCCTCAATCCAAAATCCCAGCAAAGCACAGCCCTCTGACATAAGGATTCAGCTTTGATGGGGCCAGGGTATCTGCGTCTGGCTGCTTCAGTGTCTTGCCCACCCCTGCCTCCCACAGTCGCGGCGGCAAAGGGGAGTCGGCATGTGAGGCGCGGCGCAGCGCGCCTCCCAGGCGCGACGCCTCGAGGCCGAAGCGTCACTTGGAACCCCCCCAACCCCAACCCCCCAAACCCTCTCCCTCAACTCCCCCCCCCCTCTTCCCCAAGTTCATTGCCCAGTCAGTTGAGGCCTCATTGAGGAAGCCAGGGCAGGGGGTTAGGAGAGGGAAACCTGGCGTGGTGTTGTTCTGAGTGCGCCCTTTTTGAGGTGGTTGAATACATCCAGCAGGAAACTCGATGATGGAACAGTTCTCAAACTGGAAGTTGGTGTTGCGTTTCAGCCCCGAAGCAAGTAGCAGGATCCCCAAAACACCCCTGTCAGCCTCCAGGTTCATGTTGAACGGAGAAAAAGCACTGCATGCGGTATGCATGCTTGAACACCAGTTTCCAATTTCCGTGGCAATGTCAAATGCGACATGCTGCCTACCTGGGGCCTCCCCGCCAGCCCGCCAGCCCGCCAGCCCGCCAGCCCAGCCCCCCAGCAGCTCCACACAGCCCTCAAGGCCTCGCCCTGCACCAGCGCCAGCTGCCACACCTCCGGCAGCACCATCGACCAGTAGGCCACCGGCCACTGACACACGAAGGCCTCGCACGCCTGGCGCGGTCGGTCTGGCGTCGCCTTGTTCTCCGGCCGGGGGCCAATTGGTACGTGCCTTTGAAGACGTGAAGGCTGCTTCTTGCTTTTAAAGAAATAGAAAGACCAGAATCCCCATGCCAAGCCAGCTGAACCCAACCCCCTCCCCCCAGAGATGGCCTAGGTCCTCCAGTAGAGAGGTTCGAATAAGTGGGTACCCGATTTTTCTTCTGTAGTCACTTTTAGTAGGGGAACCCTCCCCCTCCAAAAAAAAGGTAAAAGGGCACTACTGGGGGACCTAGTGGTGCACACTTCCCCCAGTTTGAGTCTGCAAAAGTGGCCAGTGGGCCAAAAATAGCTGCCCAAAATGGAACCCTGGTACATGGAAACATGGGCTAAAACCTGCGGCTTTCTGGCGGTTTCATTTTGACCCATACCCAAAATGGCCCGCGCTCGCCGCTCCCCGCCTCCACGGTCCTGGCCTCCGCCGCCTTCGCCAGGCTCCGCAGCTCCGCCGCGGCGTTCAGAGCCTCCGGGGCCGTGGCGGGCCACTTCTCCGCCGCCAGCAGGCGCCGCATGGCCTCGCGCAGGGGAGGGGGGGAAGGGGGGGGGCCATCCACTGGTTAACCTGGAACCCCAGAACCGCAATCCAAAGAGGAACCGTTATTTTGGAGGAAATCATGTTAGAAGGCATTGTGGGAAATAGCTGAAATAACACTTGTGACGCCAAAGTGGGCCATCCCCGTGACTAGTTTGTCACTTGAGGGTCCCCACAACATGTTTGTCATGGCCTTGAGATGGGGACGCTCGCTCACGACCTGTTGCTTTCCTCCCTGAAACACCATGAGAAAAAAGCCAGGGTGCTTGCCAAAGCGATTCTTACCAAACCTTTTGGAGCCCAACTGGCAGGTGTCCTGCAGATAAAACAGCACCTCAGATAAAACAGCGCGCTTGACCAACGTTCCGCTTGAGGACCCTTCAGCATTTCCCATTTCCCTTGTCCAACCGTCATGAAATGGGCGCGGCTCAGAATTAAACAGGGTAACGCAGGTTTTGGTCCATGTTTCCGCTTGCCAGAAATTCCCATTCTGGCACCGGTTCCTTTTGAGCCGCGGCAAAAAATGGACGAGGGACATCTTCGATGGATCTTCCGAAGCCGCTTGGCCCTCGCCTCGGCCTTGGCCTGGCGCCGGTTTTGGCCCAGGCCGGAGCTGTCGGCGGAGCGGCGCTCGCCGCTGGGGTCCTCGGAACTTGAAGCGGGCAGGGAGTGGCGGTTTTCACCTGGCAGGACATCTGGAATTTGGATTTGGACAAATTCGGTCAACCACAGGCAGGACATTTGGGATGTGTTTCTTTTGACAAATTTGGATTGGATTTGGGCACGTGCACAAAGCGGCGATCTGGGCTCTCAAGGAATGCCAATGTTGAGAGAACGGCTCGGAGAGTTGGAGGGCCAAAATGGGACAACAGTTCCGTGTCGACAGGTGGGAATGAATGAACAACTCCTCAGTTTCAGTGTGGGAATGATGCATTTTGGGGCTAGGACGGTCTTCCAGATTCGTCCAACTGTTGCAGTCAACCGGGATAAACCTCCCATAGCATATGAACTGAAAGTTGGAACAACCCGAAATAGGGGATCGAATTACGAGCTCAGATGACTACTTCTAGATCAGAAGCCAAAGCATAGGTTATGTGAGGGTTACACAAGGATTTTGCCGCGTGCGCGTGTTCTACCAGTTTGGGGGTCCTGAATGTTTCTCCGGGCGGGGCACGCATATACTCGTTCGGCCGGCGGGGGTCACTCAACAAGCACGAGCGCTATGCGAAACAGCTATGGCGCCAACTTGGGTTTGGGCTGCCACGTTAACAAAAAGAAGTGGAGCCAACACATGCGTCTTCCCATTTTCGACCGAGAGAAAAGAGAAAGATACAGCCCGCAACACGCGGCACCATCAGACCACCTGGCCACCGACTCCAGGTCCTGCCAGGCCCAGTGCAGCGCACTCCGATAGCCCGCGTCGTGCCGCACCGTCTCCTCCCGCACCTGAACCACAGGAACACGTAAGCGAATGGATATGAGCTGTAAGAGTCATGAGGCCCCTTATAGTTGGCTTCCCTTCAACCAACCTGAAAAACAGGTGCCTTCAGAAAAGACACGCCGAATATCAACCACCCCAACAGAGCCTTGGAACAAAACTCCCACGCAGCGCCCGTTCTTCCCGCAGCGGATCTTCTTCTTTAATTTCCGCACTGCATCTCAACCGCCCTCTGTTTCAAGGGGGGGGGGGGGGAACCAGTTGAAAGAGGCCTACCTGGCACGCTTCAAGGTCAGCTCCCCACCCCCGAGGCACTGAGGCGCTGGACCCGCCTTGACCCTCAGGCGCTGGACCAGCAGATTGTGCCGCACCGCCAGCTCCGTGCAGGCCCCGGGGCTCAGAATCCTCATGGCGAGGGCCGAGAGCTGAGACTTCCAGCCGAAGGAAGAGTCAGTCCAAGCGGTTGAGCTCCGTCTTTCGCTTACAAAATATGGAACATGTCCACAAAACGAGGGTGTCTAGCAGTCGCTCCATTCACCCATTCGAAAATGAGGGCGGATTGCCCGATGAGAGAGAGGGAGAGAGAAAGACAGGCACTTCCATGTTCAGCACCTACCCGCTCGACCCCTGGGGGGCTCTCAGAAAACGCCACACTTGTTGTCCTTCTTATTCACGCGCCGATGTTCCCACGAAAACCTTCCTGGCTCCTCGAACCGAGACGGCGAATCCTCAAGTCCCCTGCCGCCAAAACAGCTTTACAATCCGTCCCACTGGTAGAAAGGCCAACCTGAAAATCAAAGGATCCCTTGAGAAACGCTTTTTCAGGGAGAACATTGTTTTGTGTGTGTGTGACACAGCCTCTTTTGTGGCCAATAATAGCAAAGAGAAGCCCACCAACGGTCTGACAAAACCCTTTGGACCCATGTTACCTTCCTGCCGAGGGGCGACATGGCAGAGTCAAGCTGCTTTTGCCGCTGGACCGCCGCCTCCTGCGGTGAGAGGCAGCCAAAGTCAACCAAAAAGGAACGGACATGAAACTACATCTTTTGGTTGAGTCCTCCCCTTCACCCACATATATGAAGGGAACTGGGTGTGCCATTCTCGGCAAACCTGAAGAACCTTTTGGCCTGGTCATCCCCTGCACTCGTAAATGACAAGGGGACCTGGCTCCCCATCTGCATGGGGGTTGATCAATATTCCGTTCGGCCCCGAATGCCCACGGGTAACTTTTGCATTCAGGAGTGAAAGTCGTATCTTTTCTGGTGGTTTCCCTGCTGGTCATCCCATTCTGTGGGATGGACGAAATCCATTTCGCACCACCTAAAAAACCTCGGACTGATGATTCCGCTGTTTTCTACCGACGAACCATGGCTTCCTGTGGTGTCATAGTGGCGCGAAATGGATTTCCCAACCATCCACGGTAAAGACCTTTTGATCAACCCCTTTGGTCCTGGAGCTCCCCGTGCTGCTGCAGCGCCCGCTGCAGCGAGTGCGCCTCTGTGGCGCCTTTGTGCAGCGCCGGGTGGCCCGCCGCCTGAAGCACGAGCGATGTTGGGGGGGGGCTGGTGGTGGGGATTGGGGGAGGGGAGGGGCCGGTGGGGGGAGTGGGGGGGTGTGCGAATGGGCTGGGGGGCCAAGGGAGAAATAAGTCTCCACACCCCCAGATCTCGGGAACCTCACATGGTGCATCTTTGGGCAGCTCAAGCATCACCATGCCAAAAAAAAATAAAGAAAATGTCCTTCGGCGTGAGCCGGAAATAGAAGGTCGACCGATTGTTGGCAGCAGAGCTCCCCCAAAACGTGAAGGATTCCCTCCAAAATGGAATCATGGAACACCCTGTTGATCAACCAAAAGGATGTGAACCCTGGGTTCGCATCCGCATTGGCTCCTGGTTTGACCTGCATTGGATCACAAGTTATTGCACCGGGAAGGGCAAAATATGCAAGATTGTCATGATGGCGTTGTGCTTTTTCCATTTGCAGCCGCCTGGGCAGACTGGGAAGCAAACCAGGGCAATGCTGGCGCATTGCAGGCGTGACTTGGCCTGCCAGACTGGGGGAAGCAACCTGAACGCAAAATATTGTCGACGCAGTTTGCTTCCGGAGCAATCCTCGGGCGGTTTTCTCCTTTCGCTACCTTCCTCCAACTAAAATGGCACCTGTGGGGAGGTACCTGGACGATTCATTTCCTTTTAAAAGAACCGGGTCCTCTCAGTTGCCATGGCAACGTGGGAGGGAGGGTACTACAACGCAAGCAGCCATTGACGCAGTTTGCTTCCGGGCACTCCTCGGGCGGTTTCTCCTTTCGCCGCCTTTTACCCTTCCTCCAACTAACATGGCACCTGTGGGGAGGTACCTGGAAGATGAATCTATTCCCCATTCTTTTCAGCCATCGTTCTTTTCAAAAACCAGCCGTTCCCCCAGGTGGTTTCTGGGACCACCCCACCCCCACCCCCACCCACCCCCACCCAGCCCACCTGCCTGCAGGTAGAGACTCTCCCACGCCTTCGCCTGCGCCTCCTGGGCGCTGCTGCCCGCGCCCTCCGCCGCCAGCTCCGCCGTGCTGCCGGGCTGCGGCACCCGCCACACCACTCGGTGCCCGAAAGGCGCGGGCCCCGAAGCGCCGGCGCCGGGGGTGGGGCCGTCCTGGAAGGAACCAAAAGGTTCCCCAGGCTCCAAAGGTGCCCTCCAAGCAAATGGTCTTTGGATGGAAGCTGGGGGGTTGGTTTGTGGGGGGGGGTTGAAATGAAAGGCCCTGGTGTTGGCGCACACTTTGCCGAAAGCAAAATCATTGAAAACAAGGTGGACACACGGACCTTTGGCTTCATCCACCCGCCACTCATCGCGGTCCACTCCTGGAGCACTTCTGCGGAGAGCTTGTAGCGGAGCCCTGGCGAAAAGGGAGTGGAGCTGAAGGATGCGGTGACAGTGAGCCGCTCTTCCTTGCCCTTGACAAGGTCATCCGTTAGCAAACGAAACTAGAAGCCCAGGTTGCATCTCCAAGTTGCGTCTCCAACCTCGGGAACCTTCCGTAACCATAGCTCGGAGACGCTCCGCATATCTTTGCGGGGATCCCAAAGCTCTCAGCCGGGGAAAAAGAAAGACCGGCATTCTGAACGAGACGTAAACAACAATAATACGAACAATAATATTTATACTGATAATGATAATAATAACAATGCTAATGATGATGATGAGAAACAGATAAGGAAATAAATAAATACATACATGAATATGTATATGTGTACATATATATATATATAGATATACATTAGTTTGTTATGTTTTTTCATTTCAAAAAGAAGAGAAAAAACACACACAACGAAGCGCCTTGCAGCATCTGCTTCCGCATCTGCAGCTCTGCCTCCTCCCCCACCGCCACCTGCCGCAAGAGCGCCGCCGCGGCCGCGCGCCGGGCCGCCTTGCGGCTCCGCGCCGCGCCGCTGCCCCGCGGCCTCGAGGCAGAATCTTTTGGGGCTGGGGGTTGGAGGAGCTGAAGGGGTGGTTTGGCCGCAAAAAGGTGGGTGGTGATTTCTTTGTCGGCTTGCCTGGTTGGTGTTTGGCCCGGTGGGGTTGAAATCAGTTTGATTGGGAGGGTTTGGTCTGGTTTGGGCTGGTTTCCTCTGGTGCGGTCTGGTTTGTTTTGCAAGGCGGCCCAGGTCCTGCTTGTTGAAACCAACTTTGTCCCCAGAAACCTGCCTCTCCGCTCCCAGCTCCCAGGTGATGTCCACGTGCTGCTTGCCGTCGCGCAGCTTCACTTCTTCGTGCACCTTTGGCGACAGCTGCACGCGCTGGATGGCGTAGAGGTACAGCACATTCTCCTTCACACACGTCCGTCTTGCACCACTTGCTTACTTCCCTCGTGCGCGGATCGTACACCCGATCTGCGAGCTTCAGGAAAGGAACCTTCATGGAAGCAAACGCCCAGCACGGATTTAGCTGCCAGGGCATAGAGAAAGAAAAAGGATGGGTCTTCTATGGTCTTCTAGAGGTTCACCCCTGGTAGGGAGGTCGTCCAACAATTGCCCACGACTTTCCTTACGCCACATGCCAGGACCCTCGCTTGAAGAGCCGGCCCAGGGAAGCCTCTGACTCGCTCAGTTTGCAGCAGACTCGAAGCCGCCTCCGACTGGGCGTTGGACGAAACAAATATAAGATGTGGTCCCTTCTTTGCTTTCCCTTAATCACCAAACTCCGACCTGCTGTTGGACACCTCCAATCTGTTTCTGCCCTCCTGAACCTACTCCAGAGAGGCACCCTCGTGGCTTGGCAAAATTTGATTCGGAGCAACCAAAAGGGACCTTTTGAACACCAAGTATATACAGCATCTGCCACTATCAGCTCCAGGCAAACCTTGTCTCTCCCTCAGATACCCAGTGGCCATGGGAAAAAATGGGTATCTTTTTTGCCTGGTTGACTTTAAAAGGGAACCCTTCCCTTAAAATAAAGGGCGGAATCCACTGGGCAACTGGGCTCCTCATTCCAGTAGTGCTGCTTGAAGCCTTTCGCCGCACATCCTGCGGACCACCGCAGCGTGGATTCCCAGCGCCGCCCTGGCCCTTTGAGCGTCCAGGTCCAGGCGCGGGCGAAGCACGCATGGGCCATGGCAAAACCATCGGACAGGCAGCGGGCTGCTGGTTACGTCGAGTCTTAGACTGGCCTGGAGTTGCCAAAGAGGGTTTCTGGCCATGTGATAGCAGAGCAACTCCGAAAACCCCGGAACAAAGGTGGAAATTCGGGTGACCAAAGAAAACAACACTTGGAGGCTCCTTGGAGGCTTGTTAGGGGCTCGGAACACAACTGCAAATCTTGGCGAGTAGGGTGGCACTCCCGACCATCCTTGCGGCTGGCTTGGCCAAAGAAATGTGCTTTTTTGCCGGCAAACGAGTTTGAAAACGTCGGATTTGGCCGACCAAAGGCAAGGTTTCAGGCTAGCTGGCTCTAAGCTTTGATCCTGCAATATCCAAGGAATGTCTCTTGCACTTGAAAGGAAAGATCCTGAGACCAACGTTTGTGTGGCAGCCGTTGCAAGAGCGCCGTTGCTGTGAGAGCATGCCCCAGGACAAGTCTGAATCTTACAATGGCAGATTCAGCAACCTGCCGCGCGGCTCATTGCTCTGACCTTTTTGCTGGGGGGGGAATAGCAGCGGATGCTACCAGCGAAGCTTCGAGCCAACAGGAAGGACAAAATCGGGCGGCGGCACCCAGCCAAGAGCAGAAGGCAAGGGAGCCTTCGCAAATGACCAATGTGAACACCCCTGTGCCCAAAATATCCTCGATGTGGATGCCCGCAGCACCGTTCTCAATGAACATCTTGGCGAGCTTCATCGTGGCAGTGAGGCCGCCGTGCCCGGTGTCTGCATCAGCAATGATCGGGTTCAGGTAGTCCACAACCGGCGTCTTGGCACGGTCCGCCGGCGACATGCGACGTCGCTCCTCGTACTGCTTGCGGTCGTGGAAGAGCTGAGCCCGGAAGAGCTGGTCCACCTGCCAGTTGGCAAGAATGACGAGTCGGCTTTGGTTTGCCTTGCTGCATGATGCCCCATAGGCAACTGGACCGCACTCAAGAGCCATCCCTGCTTTTGCTCCATGCATGCGTGCACCGGAACCAACTGACTCACTGTCGACCCGAGGTCAATCCAGGACAACAAAGTATCGTGGTGGCCATCTGTCATCCTGTGAGAGCTGCTCCAAAACGCTGCAACTGTCGCAACTCGCGCCTTGTTGGGCACGGTGTCGTACGGGTAGTCCGCGACGTCCGGCCCGGGCTCGTTGGAGGTGGAGGCGGTGGAAGAGCACTGCCAGCCGCTCACGTACACGGAGGTCAGGTACTTGGCCATCTGGGTCACCTGCACCACAGCGTGCTCGGATATGCTCGGATGATGTTTTGTTTTTTGTTGGCTGAGCATAAGTCAGGTTCAGTGAATCTGCAACGCTTCGCAAACGGTGGCGCTTAGCAGCCCTTAGTGATGCTTAGCAACGGTGAGCCAGTCAATCATGCTGTGAGGGCTGCTGCTCGAATCCCAAGCATACCTGCCATGGCGTTCGGCCCCAACATCCCCAAGTCGCCAAACCCAACCCAAACCCCAGCCAGCCCAACCCTGCCATCCCCCCCGACCTGAGCCCCAAACTCCAAACCCCAAACCACTCAAACCCAACCTCCCCTCCCCAACCTCCCCCAGGAAACATGCAACCTCAAACCGGCGCCTGCACAGTGTCCAGTGCGCCGAAGGTGTGCGAGCAAGTGCCCTTGGCCTGGCATGTCTGCCGGTCAGCCACCTCCGGTTTTGCTTCGGTAGACTTAGACTCCTCCCCCTTCCCCGCCGCACAAGGTTACTGTTGCATGTTGTCTGTTGTCTGTTGTCTGTCCTCTGAGAGGGGGTCGTAACCACGACAAAAACGCGATTTTGTTACCATGACAAGGTGCAATGTTACCACGGCAGAAAAAAAGCGTTACAGCGACATGTTTCTTGCGGGCTTATCCCGACAAGCAGGGAAATAGAAAGGAATAAGAAGGCATGAGAAGGTCAATAAGAAGGAATAAGAAGGAATAAGAAGGTCAATAGAAAGGAATAAGAAGGAATAAGAATGTGAATAGAAAGGAATAAGAAGGAATAAGAAGGTGAATAGAAAGGAATAAGAAGGAATAAAAAGGTCAATAGAACGGAATAAGAAGGAATAAGAAGGTCAATAGAAAGGAATAGGAAGGAATAAGAAGGTCAATAGAAAGGAATAAGAAGGTCAGTAGAAAGGAATAAGAAGGAATAAGAAGGTGAATAGAAAGGAATAAGAAGGAATAAGAAGGTCAATAGAAAGGAATAAGAAGGAATAAGAAT